TGAAAAAAAAAAGTTCTACTTGAGTTTCATTCGGCAGACACATAATCCGAAAATAAAATTTAACTGGCAAGTAACAGTGTGCAAACCACATACAGAATTTAATCAAAATCGGTTAATTTCTGGCGTAACACAGTGGACAACTACGCTAGACAGCGATTCGTGTGCTTAAATTCCAACTACCGGCGGAATACTTTGGATTTTCGGTGGCCTACATGAGATTATCACGTAGAACCTAAAAATGTCGACCGTCAGTACGAGTGTAACATGAAATTTCACTCAGAACGTCTTGCTATACTTGTTATCTACCATCACCCGATTCAGCACGTACTAACATCGAATGTAAAAGTAGATTTAAGTAGAGTTTGCAACGCCGCGCCGCCATGTTGGTACCAATGACCGAATCAATTATGAAGTTACTAACAGAGATAAGTTCGGTTTGCAAAACTTGAGTGTAGCTTACTCGACAGTCCTAGAAGAGTCGTCAAGGGAGATAGAAGCCTCCGCCTTTGGTAAGAAAGACGTCTATTTCAGCGTCTGGAACAGCAACCAGTCACGTCGTTACGACACTAGCATCTTCGTAACTATTAACGCAAAAGAAAGTTTTCATTTTTTATGTTTAGCGCTGACCAGGACAGACCACCTGAGGTAGGGCCTCTGCGATAATTGATTCACGAGTCCGTACCCCATAACTGTTAACCCGTTAAAGCGAAGTGGTAACTCCATGTATAATCGGCTTTAACAACCAGTAATCTCATTTTGAATTTGTGGATTCTGTATGATTCTCAAATAAGATTACTTCCTTAAACAGCATCAATCAACTTATATTTGTTATGGTGATATGTCGTGTTTTATTTGTGGTGTGGACTAAATTCTTAGATATTATTTAGACGTACTTCGGCTTCAAAGGGTTATTCTAAATCCTTTCACCTCTTTTTCGCTTGTACACCGCCAAAGTCTAACATGAATCATGCCTTTGTAGGTTATAAGAAAATTCTTTTTCAAAAAAGTCACGTTTAGGTACAAAAATGTAACATTATTACACCGCCAAAGTCTAACATGAATCATTCCTTTATAGGTTATAATAATATTCTTTTTCAATAAAGTCACGTTTAGCTACAAAAATGTAACATTACGTGAGTAAATAATTCTAGCTAAAATTTATTATGTATATGGAATTAGACAGGATGACAATAAATCCACAAGCAGAAACGGAACAGCGCTGGTAAAAGAGTTGCCTAGGGCATCTGATGCAACTTTCTGAAACAATATTTATTTTTGTTATTAATAATGATATTTTTCAAAATATATTTTCAGTAATGGTCTTGTCAAGTACTAAAAAAAGTCGACATCTATCCAACCTTCTACCCCATGAATTATGCCTTTAGACACGGAACCAGTAAGTGGCGCCTCATTTGAATATCAAAAGCTCCATTTTCTCCGGAATGGAATACTTGATTGGTGGAGATGTCACAACTTACCATATGCAGGCAGAAGGAGACAGAAACTTTCGTAGGAAAATAAAATCCTCTTGCATATAATTATCTTGTCAGGAATAACACCTTTGGCTACCGAAAAGAAATGTTTTCTTTCTTTTGTAGTCTTCAGTTCTTAATATGATTAAACACAGTGAATACTTCTCACATTCGAAACTGCACCAAATTTACCATATTAATAATAATTATTAATAAGCTATGTTTAAAATTAACATTCGAAAACCTCACTGACATTTCATAACATAACTTACACGCAAACGTTATTACAAAGAACGTAAACAGTTGTTCCAAGTAAAGTCAAACGTTTACAACAAATTTCTGAATACGAAGCACTGATGTCGTTTTCCACTGTGTCCTGTAGAACGCGCACATTATCTAAACAGCTCATACAACTTCACATCTCCGATTTTTACCGCTGAAAAGCTGCCATAGATTCATAAGAACACAAAAGACTTTATCAAACTATACCGGTAATTAATTTTTGCACGTGAAACCTTCGGTTAAGTGACTACACACTTTTTTCATGCCGCATTTAACGTCAGTCAACTGTCATACGTGAAACCTTCGGTTAAGTGACTACAACGACATTTAACGTCAGTCAACTGTTAAATTTTAAAATGCAGTTTCATTAAGGAGAAATGACAGTACAGAGTTAATTAATGGCAGCAGTTACATTATACCGCCCTTTACTACACTGGAAGGTTTAATCAACCACTCCTCTGCAACTAACACTGATAGGTGTTCTGTAAAAGAAATTCTCGCCCGCCATTCATTGTGGCTTAGCTAATTTCGTTTTTTAAATTCACATCATCGTACTGTGCTGAAGTTTTGTGTGAACCTAATGTAAGGCAGTGGTTGTGTAGAAACTACATCGAAAGGAGGGCACGAAACAGAGAGTGAAATGAACACTGGTACCAACTTCATAGTAAGAAAAACACCAATATTCAGAATAAAATTAGTATCCGTTTCGGCAGCGTTCAATACATGTAAGCCGAATAGTCTTGTCAAAATAAATCATGACACATCAATCATAAACAAGCTTAAACAGACCATACTCGGAAATGGGTATGTATTGTTCCACACCTTAATTTTAATGACAAAGCACGCAGATTTTCAGAAAACAACACAATATTTTTAAACAACGTATTCAAAATAACATTTGGAACCTGTTATTATCGATATCTTATAAGGATATTATCAAATATATATTAGTTTTCAAATTTTAACACACAAAATTCTGATACAAAATATCACACCCAAATTTATATTTAAAATTTACTCATCTTAGAGAAGGAGGGACGTCTCCTTTTTCGTGGAACCCGAAGTTCCATTATCGTGTTCACAAGAGCTTCCACATTCTCAAACTATATTTATTATCCAATCTAATATTATCCTCACATTTAGGACTGGTTCTCCCAAGTGGCTGGTCTCTTCACTTCAGAACTTCTAAACAAAATACCAGTGAAGTCTTCCATCCGTGACACATGCCTCGGCCATCTCAGTGTTGCAAATAACAGGTGTTTTAAAAATTTCAAGCAAGAAGATCATTTAAATAGTATCTAGTTGCCACCCGAAAGAAAACACAATACATCCCATTATGAAGTTCAAATAGTGAGCCTAGTTATATTTAAGAAAATAATCTATGTCTATTCTGAAAACTATACAAAACACACAAATATGTAAACAAAATGCAGAGTTGCTAAATTTTACTAGGCTTTTAAATAGCTAGAATGATATGAACGTAATAAATGGCTTAACTTTCGCTTAAAATGGGAATTCCTGAAGTGGAAGATTTTTTCCTCTACACTAATGTTCTCTTAAACTTGCAGCTGGCAGAAAGAAAAACTTCACGTAAAAAAACAACGAACACAGATATCTCTTCCTGGACTGAGTAGCCAAACAATCTCGATGTACCTGATCTGACAGTTTCAACTACGTCCGAATCGAACAGAGAATTGTATAGCCCGTTAAGATAGCGGCAATATTGTCTCTTATAAAAGAAATCTGCGGGTTGGCAACACTGCAAACGGACGTCAGGCGTCTCTGACACGATTCCAAAACCTGGTAGAAACTCAGACACATGAGCAAGGGAAGCGGCGATAGCTGGCGTAGGGCGTCTGTATTGATTTTTCGATTCGCGCCAAACCAACCAACCAACCAACCAACAGATGAAGCCACTAAGGCCTGTACAGGAAACTAAATTCGTCTCCCTCTCTGTCCCACAGCCCCTGCAATGTTCAAAAAGTTATCACAGGTCACAAAGTTCAACGACTACGTAGCCTACAACGAGGACAACGCAGGAAAAAAGAAACGACACGACCAAGTGTAAATCCCCAGAATTTTAAGTAGAAACGACACGTGATAAACAGCTTCCTCTGAATGAAAGCCAAAATCATCATGGTGTCGGTTTACAGTTTATTTACATCAACAGTTTTCACCAATTTATTTTTGTTTCGGATGTGCGTTCAGTTTATACGTCTTCAGAACTTTCTCTAAGTAACATCAAGGAAACATCAAAAAAAGCATAATACTACATTTTAAATGACTTCGATAAGCCTCCAGTTGCACCAAAAAATTTCTATATCACCTTCGCCCTCACATTCCACGTGCGTTGTTACTGTTCTTGTTAAATCGTTTCAAAAATACCAACAAAATTTTTGGGTAGCCTGAAAGGAAGAGACCACTCGGAAGACCTAGATGTAGATAGGAGGATCATATTAAAATGTACCTCGGGGAAACAGTGTTGGAGGGTGTGAATTAGATTCATCTGGTTCAGGACTGCGGGCTTCTCAATAAAAGCCAGAACATTTCTTGACTGGCTGACCGACTGCAAGGCTGCTTCAGAAGGACTCTGTTCCATGGAGTTAGTTTACTGGTATGTCGAAATGTCTCACACCACAAAGTGACAACGAGCTACATGACTGGGGTTCGATACAGCCAAGTATCCAGGGGTCCCGGCGGTCATCCCCTACGGATAAGACAGCCGAAGTGTAACCACTCACCAACATGTACTTCCCAGATTAAGAATGCTTCGAACTATGCCTCCACTTCTCCTTACGCCTTCATGTAATGATGTTTAATTATTCACCAAGACAAATTTACATATTTATGTTTTCCAAGCATGCAACTTACTTTGAAACAGACGAATTAATTGTATTCAATTTATGCCACTCTTGCTTTACACACTCACGCACTCTGCTGTCTACAAAAGCCCCTTCATCTGGCCATCTCACTTCAAACTGCTTTCCTACTAACTTTTTCTCTTTCATCTCTTATAAAGAAAAGAAAATTAAATTTTAAACTTGAATGAAGGTGAGAGCCATATCACACCCAACAAACTACAACTGATGCCTACAAACAGAAAGATCTCTGAAGCCATCAGACACACCCGCATCTCCTGCACAACACAGCTACCGAGATGAAATCAGAGAAAAATTCAACACTCACCTTTACACGCTGGACCATAGATCCATCGCCTGCCGACCCATAGCCACGGCTACTGTTTCAGTTCAGCTGAAACAAGAATACAAATGGGTTACTGTCATTCACATCTCTCCGAGTGAATAAAGGAATTTATGACAGGCTCGACATGCCGCTAGGGTGGGAACACAGAAAAGGCTTAGACATTTGGTTCGGACAGTGGTCACGTGAAAGACCTAGCTACAAAAAAGAAATATAATCGTTAAAAACGGTCATTAGTGAAATAGGTTCCGAGCATTTGAACTGGATTCAACTGGCACAGGATTCTATCCAACTTAATCTTTCTACATTTGAGGTTTTCACAGAGGAGAGTATGAAGATTTCTGTCTTCTGGGTTGTGGCGCTGTGTAGACTGGTCGATGTTAACCGACGTTTCAGAGGTCATACTGCCTCCGTCATCAGGGTGACCTCAGAAACGTTGGTAAACATCGATCAGACTACACAGCGCAACAACCCAGTCTTCATTGTCACGCTTGTTACTATTTAAACACCATATAACAGATTATCTGCCACGATCTGAAGTCAAATCTTGTCCCTGTAACTCAACACATAGTAACTTCAGGAAAACAGATATCTGCAATTAATTAAGTTTCTTTTTCAAAGTCTACGGCATCAGAGTGATATCGGGTACTATCAACATCAGTCTCCAGTAGGATCATTGCACCGGTTTAGACGTTTTATGGAAACCTACTAACAGATGCGCACACAGAAACATGGCCAACTCGTCTCTCTACTTTCGTAAACCTCTTAAAATAAACATTCACTAAAAACTTTTCAGGCAAATCCGCAATTACTCTCCATATAAAATATTACGCAAAACGGCTCAATCTGACGTCAGATTATAGTAGATGCTTCAATGTACGTCACAGCTATACACTAAAACATGTTATTTAGTCAAACATACTTTTGCAAGGTATGTGTTCTCTAGTGCGGAATACCTGGCTTTGCAAAAAAAGAAATTTATTTAAGCTAAGCAAATAATTGAATCAGTCAAAGCGGTGAGCAGATATATAACCAACTCCGTTTTGCTTACAAAAGTGAAATTTTTTGTAGACAAATTATATTTCACAAACCAATCCCCAAAGTAAACAAATAGTTCCTAACGACTTTAATCTGCCTTACCTATAAAATTATTCATGCCATACAGTGGGCCTAGCATATAAAACATTTGATTGACCACGAAAAAAAGTTTGCAAATGATACATTTTATCAAAAGAAACTCGACCAAAAGAGGTTGAGAGCAAAGCCAGGAGCATTAGAACTACATAAACAATAAGACAAAGATATTTCTAACGTGTTTTCAATAATAATTTCCCTCCATTAAGTCTAAAATCGATTATAATTTGAAAATAACTCTACTAGAACACTTCCCAAGTAACCTCACCAGTTTTGTTAAACATTAATTTTTAATCTTTAACATAATATTGCATGTTAGGTGGATCTCTCACCACCACGGCATGAAGATTTTTTGGCTTTCGGATGGACAGGACAGTTCCATGTGGTAATGGCAGGCTCTTTTAAACGCAGTAAGAAATAAACCTTCCGGTTCCAGAAAGCGCAAGGAATTTCTTTGCCAGTCTACTGATTCAACTTTCTGAAGTAGGACTCTGCTCTATAGAGACAGTTACTGAGTTAATATCGAACTTCATAAACTTCTGAACGTCAGCTGATATTAAACTCCGTAAACTACCAAATGTGAAGTGAAACTAGCAACTGAGTAAAAGTGAAATAAATTAATATAGAAGTTAAAAAGGAAAGAAAAATATCTTCTTCCGTCAGACAGCTCAAGTAACACGCACACACTCACAATTATCTTGTAAAACAGTATTAAATTAAGAACCACTATTAAAATTATAAGATGGCTGTCTTCTAGGTTATTGTGCTGTGTTTTTAGATATATTATCGTCTTGATGGTGGAGGCAGCAAGCACCTCTGAAACGTCGGTGAACTTCTGCCAGACTACGGCGCGACAACCCAGAAGACTCACACTCGCCAGGTTCTCACTTGGTATTAAAATAATTTCAATCATCATAACAAGTTGTAAAATTACTTTTGGAACACCTAAAGCAAACCACGAACATCAAATGTGTCTTAAAATTATCAGTAAACCGGAAATTCCAGCGTAAATTCGGTGTAATCTTAATAACTCAGGATTTATTTATTTTTTCAATTACGTCAACAAAAACAGAACCACGAAGAATGAAGTTAATTGCGAAAAGATCAAAAGAAAGATGGGATAAAATAATTCGCTACATAAACATGTATCTCAATACGATGTCTTTATTCTAGAGAAAGAATGCACGAACCCATGCAATCTCTCCCACGAGTAATTCAGACCACCGCAGGAAAAGGAAAAAGACAGTTCTATTACTTGCCAGGATCAAACTTTCCATACACATTCTATAAAAGGTAACGAAACTCGGTGTTTTGCTGCACAAACAATACGGAAGAAGAAACTGCCTGTTATAAATTGTACTTAAAACAGCGTAGCTGCAGGGGTAATAAAGAAATAGCAGAGAATATTCCCTTTCCAAGCCTGCAAATAAATGTGTGTAGTGCACACGAAAATCATTCCCTGGAGACTCACGGCAACAAGCAGAATTCCCCACTGTTCCAGCTCTTAAAATGAAAAAGGGGTGAATTCAGGATTTGGGAATGAGGGGGTTGTCCAACAAAATCTCACAGAATAAAAATGTGCCCCCAGAAATAAAAAAATATGTGGTGACTACTATGTGTAATGGAGATACAACGGTGAATTCGTCTTGTGTAGAAGTGGCGAAGTCCTGTGCTTCAAGATCTCTGTCAAGTGTTGAATCTGTACACCCTGGAAACTATTCGACGGATTTCGGGAAAACTATGTACTAACTGGGGGGTTTCCAATCGATAAGTTCCAGACTAATTTAATTTTATACGTGTCGGCTCAACATAACCGCTACTTTTCGTGGAAATTAAACTATTTTTGTATAAATTATCTTTAGAACTAGAATACTGCAAAATAAAAACTTGCGTGACAAACAGAGAGCTTTCTTCCACCTTCAACTTTCATTTAAAATTATTTTAATTGAAGTAAAGTAAGACAGCTGATATCTGATATATCTGAACACAAACAAAGTGCATCAGCCTATATATCTTGCAAAGAAAACATATGAAAAAGACGTGCATTTCAATTTTAAGCATGATTTTACATTCTTATTAAACACTCAGCCACACCTAGCAGTTAAGAGGAACGTACGTTCAAGACCACAGAATTCTATGCTGCAGGCAATATGTTTCGATGAACTCATAACATGGAACTGGTCAAACCATGGCCTCAAGGATGACTGGGAAGGGATACAGTACACAAAGCATAAATCAGGGGTTATCGACCTGCAGAATGTTCCGTCTTTCGAATGGTATGCGAATTGCAGGGATAGGCATTTGTTTTACCGTGGGGCCAGATGGTTGTACTGTACCTCAAACTGACTGCAATCCCTAAGTCCACAGAGAACAATTTTGTAGTTCAAAAATTGTCAGTAAGTATAGAATTTCTTATTAACTCTAACTCTAGGCTGTCGACAAACGGTAACTACACTGACCACAAATTATAATTAAACATAAGTGTATAACAGTAATTTATTTCCTTTTTACTGCACAAGTTTCACACTTTTACGATTTCCAATCCAAGGTTACTAATTGTTTAAAATGTCTAGGAAATAGGTCTTATAAATTGTTTTACAAACTAAACCTTATTTAAACTACTGACAAATATTCTCAATGCTGTCAAAACATTCCCAAATTTAATAACATGAAAATATGTTCTGACAAAGGTGAGAATTCACAAAAAATTTTATATGAAAATATGTTTTGACAAAGGTGAGACTTCACAAAATTTTTACGCATACAAGTCACGTGTCAAGATCGCCACTGCCTCCTAGAACTGAATATCCTAACAATACTAGGTGACTGTTCAGATCGATTTCTCGCCATGTAACAACCTAAATTACTCACAGGCCCTAAACTTTATTCTTCACAGGTCCAACTAACATTGTGTAATATGATTTCTTACAGTAAAGGGTGGTTAGCCTCCCTTACCGCCGAACCACCAAGCTGCAACTAGGAGGGATGAAATAGCATGAGGCCGGAGAAAAGTGGAAAACTTAATAATTTGTACACTTCACCAAATATGCGTAGGAAGATCAAATGAAGGAGATGAGAACGGAGAAGGGGGAGCGGGTTACGTACAAAACTAGCCTGAAAGGAAGACACCACTCGGAAGACGTTGGCCTAGACCAGTGGTCTCCAAAGTGGGGTGCGCGAGATAGTCCATGGGGGTTCGCGAGATAATTTCAAATTAATTTTGTTTTGTATTCTTGTATTGAATTGTATTTGTGATTTTATAATGTGATGATAGATATAAATTCATACCAGGTAATTTTTTATGAATAATAATAAATATAATAAAAATTACACTTAAATATTTATTTATTCCAGGGGTGCGTGCTACGTGTTTTTAGTAAGTAGGGATGCAAGACCAAAAAATTTTGGAGACCAATGGCCTAGACGGCACGATATTACAATGTCCACTCTTAGTTCTTTGGTGGGAAGACAACGGTCTTCCAGAACAAACAAGATGTCGTCTAATCAACCTATTACAAGGTAAAACAAAACCATTCACATTTAAAACTACATGTTTCGACCCGCTATGAGGCCGTCTTCAGGCTCTTACTATTAGTACACACGTTATAAACGAGTACTATCTATGTGGTATTTTACCACTCTGTTCCAGCCTTTCTTCCTTTGTAAAATAACCATGTCGTTGGTACTATAGGTACACAATGGATGAACAATAAAGCTGCTCGCTACGGGCTGGAAGACACCTACATATGTCTCTCATAAAACACAAGGCTATAGAAAAGCCTATCCTAGTATTACATATCTTATGTACCCCTAATGTATTCTTCGTGTGTGTGTACACCCCCGATTCACAAACGCTAGTCAAGAAAAACTGAGGAAAACTAAGAACCAGGATAATCCGTAATATCCTTGTCGAGTTT